GCCACTTAAGCACAAAATCTTGCCAGTCTAGACGCAGCCTAACAGTAACTTCCACAAGTAGGTTTGCAATGGAAAAATTCTCTCTATGATCTTTATGGTTTACCCAATATTATATTTCACTTATTTCCTTTTGAGAAGCATAAATCAGTTTGTATGGCTGGATAATTGCTACAAGTACATAAAAGTCTGAGACACTATTATTTAGGCTCTAACCTTCTTATTTGAGAAGTCCACAAATAAGCCAGGAGAAATATGCATACGGGCAAAAGACCGCTTTAATTTACGTAAGAACATAAGTATGGCCATATTGGGTCAGACCAAAGGTCCACCTAGTCTTCCAAATGTGGCCAATAACAGATACCCCTGAGGGAGTGAACAGAACAGGTAAACATCATGTGATCCCTCTCCTGTCATCCATTTTCAGCCTTTGACAAACAGAGACTAGGGACACCATTCCTATCCATCCTGGCTAATAACCATTGATGGACCTAGCCTTCTTGAATTTATCTAGTTCTTTTAGAAGTCCTGGTCTTCACAACATTCTCTAGCAAGGAGTTCCACAGGTTGACTGTACACTGTGTAAATATATATATTTGGTTTAAAACCTGCTTCCCATTAATTTCATTTGGAGACCCCTAGTTCTTATGTTGTAGGAATAATAACTTTTCCTTATTCACTTTTTCCACAGTCATGATTTTATAGACCTTTATCATATGCCCCCCTTAGTCTCCTCTTTTCTAAGCTGAAAAGTCCTAATCTTTTTTATGTCTCTTCATATGAAACCTGTTCCAAATCCCTAATAATTTTTGTTGCCCTTTTTTGAACCATTTCCAATGCTTACATACCTTTTTTTTTTAAGATGAGGCGACCACAACTGCATGCAGTATTCAAGATGTCTGTGTACCATGGTTTTATATAGAGGCAATAAGATAGTCTCTGTCTTATTCTCTATCCCTTTTTTAATGATTCCTAACATTCTGCTTGCTTTTTTGACTACCACTGCACACTGAGTGGATGTTTTCAGAAAGTTATCCACAAGGACTCCATGATCTCTCTCGAGTAATTATAGCTAAATTATTCACCATCATATTGTACGTTAGTTGGGAATATTTTTTCCCAATGTGCATTACTTTACATTTATCAACATAAAATTTTATTTGCCATTTTGTTTCCCAATCACTTTGTTTGGTGAGATTTTTTTGAAGTCTTCACAGTCTACTTTGGTCTTAACTATCCTGAGCAGCAGCCTCCTCTATCCCAGTTCCCCCCACCTTGCTGCTTCTCAAGCTACGTCTAGACTGCAGGCTTCTTTCGGAAGAAGCTTTTCCAGAAGAGATCTTCTGGAAAAACTTCTTCCAAAAGAGAGCATCCACACTGCAAAAGTGCATTGAAAAAGCGATCTGCTTTTTTGAAAGACAGCATCCGTTCACTGTGGACGCTATCTCGCATATAAGCTGTGATTTCTATGGACCAAGTGGCCACCAGGGCACCTGTGCTTTTTCCTCTTTCCTCCTCTTTTGAAAGAGCACCTTCTTCCCTATCCATACACATTTTTTTCCAAGAGAGCTCTTTCTATGGGGAAGAAGCCTTTTTCGGAATGAGGATTATCAATGTTGGAAAAACCTCTTTGTTCCTTCGATTTTCTTTCAGAAGAACGTGATTGCAATGTGAACGCAAGTGAAGTTTTTTTTGGAAAAACGGCTGTTTTCCCCCCCCAAAAAACCCTCTGTAGTGTAGACATACCCTGATAGAGGTAGCAAGGAGGGACGCAGGAGGCTAGTAGTAAGCATAAGCTTATCGGGTAGTCCACTAGTCGCTAACATCCCTAGCTCCTGTCCAAAGCAGAACCAACCACAGATTTACTCTTCTGGGGTTCCAGGGTTAGTGGATTTTGTGGACCGCCCCCCGGGTTAGGACAAATATGGAAGGTTCAAGGTGCAGGACTAGGTTGCCAGCAAGTAGGGATGTTAAATATCATCCAATTGAATAGTTGATTAACCTCATGAATTCTTACTGATTACTCGACTATGCTACAGGCCCGGGGGTGAGGCCAGCAGCCAGTTTGCTCTGGCCCCACTCCAGAGGAGGCTCCTGCCACTCCCAGGAGGCAGCAGCGTAGGATGCCAGGTGGGAGCTTGTCTGCGAGGAGAGTCAGTTAAAAAACCAGCTCCCCTCACGGATCGGCTGCCTGTCACTCCACGCTGTTGCTTCTGATACAGAGACAGCAGCGTGGGGTGACAGTAACCTCTGACCGGGGTGAAATGGGGGGAGGTTGAGCTTCCGGATCCAGTGTCAGCTGGGCTGCCTGGCTCCTAACACACTTTAAATGCAGAGCCACAATGGGGGGGGTAGGTCCTTGACCCAGCGCAAACAGGGACTGAGCTGAGCTGCTAGCCAGGTGCTGAAAAATATACTTGGGGGGCGGGGGGGGGGAGAAATGCGTGTAGTCTATAGCATTAACCAATAGGCTTTTTCTTATTGGTTAATCAATTATACTATTACATCTCTACCACAGGAATGGGGATGCAGGATCTGGGCAGAAGGTTGGGTGTAGGTGGTGTTGAAGGTACAAGGTTTTGGCAGGAGATGGGGTGCAGGAATAGATGAGGGTGCAAAGTTTGGATGGGAGATAGGGTGCCAGAGCAGGCTGGGAGTAAGGTGTCTGGGTAAGGGCAGGAGACAAGAGCAAGGGAAGGTGCAGTGTATGGCCAGGAGAGAGGGTGCAGGAGCGACAGGGAGTGGTGGGGTGCAGGAGTAGGCTGGGGATAGGGTGTCTGGCCAGGAGCAGGGGAGAGTGCAGGAGTAGGTTGGGGTGGGATATCCAGCCAGGGTGCAGGAGTAGGCTGGGGATGGGTCTCAGCAGGAGGTGGGGGCATATGAGTGGGCTGCAGGTGTGGGAGTCTTGGCATGAGGGGGGTGGAGGCCACTTACTTGCCTTCACATGCCACACCAGTCCCAGACATGGCCTCCTGCTGCTCCCATTGGTCGGATTCCGGCCAATGGGAGCAATAGGAAAAGCCTCCAGGCAGCACATAGGTGTACTACTGTTCCCCCCAGCTGGGGGAGGGAGAGGGTTTCTTCCCCATGAGCTGAATCACACAGCAAGGCTTTCTCTCCACCTCTTCCCACCCCCAGTGGAAAGCTGACACTAGCAATTCAACCTGGGGGGGAAGGGCAGAGGAGGGAGGGCAAGGCTGGAGTGCCAGCACAGGCTCTCTGCTTTGGGGGGGAAGAAGGAGACTGAGCTCAAGCTGCAGAATGCCCCTCAGACTTAATTGGGTGATCATGGGGGGGCATGCATTCGCACCTTGCACACACACGTACGGGCCTGTATGTGACAAGGGATGAGTCACTTGATAATGGCCTGTTCCAGTTCATTCCTTCTGCAACACCCTGTAATGGCCCATGTTCGAAGTCAGGATATTGAGCAAGATGGGCCATTGGTCTGATCTAATATGGCCATTCTTACTTTACTTACTACACAAGACAGTGGTATTTGTGTGAAAAGAAAAGGGGCAATTGATACAATAAACTAAGAACCAGCAGAATTAGCAATTCTTGCAAATAATAGAAAGGAACATATGGAAATCTAGAGCTGTAAATATTTTAAGACTCTGAGGGTGTTCCATCAGCAACTAACTGCTAAAAACCACAAAACAGGATCTTCATTGGAAGCACTAAAGAATATTGATTGACATTTAGCTTCTGCAACAAAGTGTTGTTAAAAATAGGTAAGTCAAAATATTTTTAAGTAAACCTTTCCTGACAAAACGTATTTATTTAGGCCTTCATCTTGCAACAATCAGAGTAGATCTATAACTTTTCACATGGGTACACCTACTGAATCAAATGCAGTACTCAGAATTGGTCAGCTCATTTACAGAGAATTTTACCAGCACAAGTAGATTGTGCATATTCTTAACACATTACACCATCAAGAGCCTCATTAAACACGATATGTGTTTGGCTTCTGAAAGGCAGCATAAAGCAATTATCTTTATTGCTATTTGTGTTCTATCCATGACATAGTGAGGCTCCTAAGCCACCACAGGCACGGAGCACCACCCCAAGTCACAGGCCAGGAGACTTGCATGTCACCCACCATATCTCCTCAACAGCAGACACGCAAGGGCTAAAATGTCACAGCATTGTTATCTGCCCAACTTCCTGCCTTCTCTCTTACCCCGCAAGTGAGCACACTGCGCCCTCCTCAACCCCCGTCCTCGCCCTGGAAACAAGAACGAGCTTCGAGCCCCACCCCCATTACTCCCACTGAATGGCCCCACGGACCTTGTACACAGTTTCACCCACTGCCTAGGTTCCCACGTGCTACCAGCAGTGACTGTTTATACAGCAGAGCCAGGAAAGGGGATCCAGAATAGACGCTCCCAACCCCTGCCCACGTGCGCTGCTCCGACACTAGGCGACTGCAGCTAGAAAACAGAGCCCAACAGCTCTCACGAGTAGCCCAGGCCTCACTGCGCACGCGCAAAATTTTCCAATAGTTTGGCCACCCGCGTTGTGCAAGCGCCCATGGCCCAGCCAGGGCACAAAGTAACGTGCGCGTGCCCGGAGCATCAATCAACGCCACGCTCTACGACTGGGAGAAGTCAGAAATCACTCAAACGGACTGAAAATACGCATGCGCAGTCAGTACAGCCGAGCGCAACCTGTCCCACAGCCTCGGAGCATGCGCCAACTATTAGCCCATACGAGCACGCATAGGTCGTGCGCATGCGTACTTCCTTCTCAACGGCAGACGGGTCCAGCCAACGTCTGCCGCAGCAGAACAGCCGAATCGTAGGGCGCATGCGTGCCTGAGTTTGCTAGGCGAGCACCAGCCCAAGCGGCCGCCCTCCCCCACATGTAGGCCCCCAGCCAAGGGGCATCTTCCCTAGCCAGGCCGGGCTGCCGTGCCTGAGCGCCTCGGCGTTTGTTCTCGCTCCCTCTTTCGTGACTCACATACATACCCCGCCCCCCGCGCACAGCGCCGGACTTACCGTGCTCTGTGGGGCGGGCGGAGTTGGTCCGGGGGGCTCCGGATTCAGCCGGTTTCAGCTGGGTCGGTCCCGGCGTCACACAATGAAATCAGCGCCTCCGATCATTAATTCTCATCATGATCGTGACGTCAGCACAGACAGCGGCCAATGGGAGCCTAAGATCAGCATACCCCGCCCCCCGCGCACAGCGCCGGACTTACCGTGCTCTGTGGGGCGGGCGGAGTTGGTCCGGGGGGCTCCGGATTCAGCCGGTTTCAGCTGGGTCGGTCCCGGCGTCACACAATGAAATCAGCGCCTCCGATCATTAATTCTCATCATGATCGTGACGTCAGCACAGACAGCGGCCAATGGGAGCCTAAGATCAGCGCCGGCCGGGACAGTCCTTGCCCCCGCCCCTCCGGCCCAGGGGGAGTGTTTGGTACAGGGAACAGCCCGCCTGAGGAGGGAGGGGAGAATGTACAGGGAACAGCTGCGCGGAGGGGAGGGGGAGCACCGCCTTCAGGGAACAGCTCCACCCGACTCGGGATGGGAGCGCGAGGCCGGGAAGAGGCGGGGCGTGGAAGGGAGGCATGGAGCAGTCTGCCTCCTCCCCAGCGCACGGGGGCCGCTCTGTGCCCCGCACCAGCCCCGCGGCCTAGCTGCGCACCTGCGGGTGGGAGGGCGGGGAGTGCCTGCCCG